TATACAGGGTCGCTATGGGTCGGAACCGACTCGATGGCACTTCACAACAACAACAAAAGACATTTTTGGTGTCACATTTGGAGAAGGGATGCTACTCTCATCTAGTGGATAGAGGCTTGCCAAACATCCCCCAGTGACAGGTCAGTCCCGCTGACAAAGAATTATGCGACTCAAAGTATAAATAGGTTGAGGTTGAGAAACTACTTATTACAGTGAATAGAATTGGATTGTTGCAGATTTCGCATTGCTAAGGAGTGGTAAACTGTTACCATTGATTACGAATGGGCCATACTACATTTATTTGGTAGACTATCAGAACTTACAATGCAAGTTGCCACTGAGGGTCCAAATAGAATGTCAAAGGCTCAATCCTGTCACTTTTAGCAAAGTGCAAACGCTTGGGTAAGAAATGTTTTAAATAAGGTTTGAAGTGCTGATTTGGTTCCAGGCACTGAAATTGTAAAAGACAAAGAAGCAATTTTCAGAAAAACATTTTTTAGGAAAGCGTCTGTTTTCTAAAATGTAACCCTCTCTCTCACAAATATTTTATCAGTATGCCCAGTAATTCACAGATGCAAAAATAACAAAGAATTCTTACTTGTATAATGTATAAGTGGAATGTTTATAGCTGGCTAAACTGTTTATAGCAAATAATACATACAACCGCATAAAAGCCCCTTGATTCTATTTTCAAATATTTTTATAACTAAAACTCTAATTAAATTTTCAATACTTAAAATGTATAAAACAAAAACTGTAGTATACGTAACTCAGCATTTTAAACAAAATATTATTTTAAAAAAGCAGGCATAGAAAAAAATACAAGAAGCTATATCAAAATGGTAACTGGGTTTTTATAGTGATACAGCTATATGTTTTCTCCTCTATTTTTAAAATATTACTTATTTTATACAATATAATTTTACAGTACCAATAAATTAATTATTTGCAAATATGTTATTAAAGATCTTCAAGAACTTTAGCATACTTAAATGCTTTCTCAGATACTCAAAAATTCTAGTCCTGCAATCCCAAGAACAGGCACCCAAATTCCTTTTTTCCAAGTATGTATATATTATATGAAACTAATAATAATTGATAATGACAAAATAAGAATACTCACAGAAAGATTTCTGACAATGTTTTCATAATTAACTGTAGGAGAACAAACATAAAAATTATTTAAGAGTTCATGGTATGCTACTGAAACTACAATGATACAAAACATATAGTATGATTTTATTGTGTCAAAAATTTTTTTAAAGTGCTAAATATATATATATATTTATATATATATATATTATATATATAAAACATCTGGAAAAACACACCCGCCACTTCATAATGGGATAATTCAATATTCAAGAAAAATTCCAGAAATCCCAAATAAGAAGTGTTCACAACAGGAAGTTAGATATAAAGACAAAGGGACTAATTTTGAAACCAAATTTGTCTATCAAGTCATCAGTATACTTTGCAATGCAAATCAACAACAGTTAGTTACATTTAGTTACCAATTTTATATAAATTTGAGAACATTATTCAGATAAAGTAATATATATTCTTATATATCAGAAAGGTTCAAAAACTTCATGGAAAAAATTCCATTATCTTTTAGTTCCATTCTCCCATAAACTTTTTGAAGCCCTTCATATGTATGGTATGTGTACTTGTGTGTATGTTGTTGAAGCCCTTCATATGTA